ATGGAAATTGATTGCTTTTTTATTTATTTGTGTTTCCTTTTTTTTCAAGGAATAACACTATATTTTTTGTAATTTATTTATAATTATTGATCATAAAATTAATAAAATACAATGTTAATTTTATTTTTTTAAGGAATAATAACACTATATGTTACCAAAAATTATAAAATAAAAAATTAATATGTGTCATATTTTTATTATGAAATAATTCAGGTATGTCTTTTATTTTGACCAAAAAGATATTTACTACTTTGGGTAAACTTAAGCCCATAGAATTTTACTTTAATTGACCAAACAGGCCAACACTTTCACATCCATTCCCAGATATATCCCTTGTGAGTCATCACCCACGTGTCGAAACTGACCTTCGACGACAGCTAAGGAACAATAATTAACTTGCCCGAACAACAAATATAAAAAAACAAAAGGCAAACAAAGGACAACGTTGCGGCTTTACGAGGCCAAACACCGAGGTTCCACGTGTCTAATCCTCAGTAGCACCACCACGTGTCATCTCTTTCCTCCATCAATCCTTTTCCTCTCGAAAAGTCACTCACTTCCCTCGAGGTCACATCCTCCGTTATGAGTAAATATTTTGTGTAGCGATTATATTATNCCGTCAACACGTGGAAGTGAGGAGAGACAGAGAGGGTTCAATCTAAGAATGAGTGGGACCTAATGATTTAATTTAATCCGTCGATTTAATGATATGATATTATCTTATTTTTTGTATATAATTATTTCTATATTTATATATTTTTAGTAGTATCTTGAATAGGAATTTTTTGCCAAAACTTGTTGAAACTGACAACATTATTATTTTTTATGTAATAGAGGGTGCAATATAAAAAGTTTAATCATTTAAAGTGTAAATTAAAAGTTTATAAAAAAAATAGTAAAATTAGACACATAAATGTTTCTCTTTGGCAACCGCTACATTAAGGTAGTGTCACACAGACAAATATATATCTCATTAAAACTTTACTAGTAAAATTTGATGGGACAAAACTTATATGAAGAAAAATGAGTAAAGTGTGAATCTTCATATCTGTCTCTTTTTAAAAATCAAGATCAAAATACTTGAAATCTTTTATTCTTTTTCTCAAAATATGACAAGATTAATAGCCTGATTGTAATTTTCAACTATATTTAATGCTTAAATTATAGTTTCTCAATTTTTGATCACATTTTTTATATTTTATTTGTTATAACATTTTTTTTTACATTTACACTGCGCTTATTTAGTTATTGTCTTTAAGAAATTTATATTAATATATATATAGTTCCATTTTCTTAGTTAATTTGTAGAATTTTATAGTTGCCAATTTGAACTGATGATTACAATCTTTTATGCTCTGTTTGATAAGAAAGATAAAAAGTAACAAGGATAAAAAGTAGGAGAGATATATTTTATATCCTTCAAAGATAGAAAGTAGGAATGATGCATTTTCCTTCCTTTGTGTTTGGTTGGAAGGATAAAAAATAAAATAACTTATTTTCTTGTTAATTTTTTTTTGTGCTGGCTAAGATTAGCGGTAACAATCGAGTCGTGTCATGTTAAATCCGTGTTGAGTCATAAAATTGTAAGTTTTTTATATTTCTTATTTGCGTGTCAAATCATTTTTAAGTTTGTGTCATAAAATTTATGTCGAGTTCGAGTCGTGTCATCGTGTTGAGTCGAAAATTTTTACCTTTAATTAAGATGAAAAANGGTGGCGGAGGTGGTGGCGGCGGTGGCAGTGGGAGTAATGTGCAAGGGTTTGGGCAACTGTCGTCACAGGTGTCGATTGAATCACAATGGCGAAGTTCTTCGAGTATGTCAGAATTGGACAGTAGACCTCTCCAAGGTACCACATGGGTTTTAGCCGAATTGGCTTGTCTTACTTATTGTTGTTAGTTTGATTTGCTGCAAGATGAGGTCTGAGTGAAATTGTTCAGGGCAATAATTTTCTTGCTAGCTGTTATTTTACTTTGTTAGTTTATATGAGGATGGTATCTCACACACAAAAGCCCTTACTTTTCCTTTTTCGGTTTTGAGTTACTGTTGTTAGAAGGGCTTAAAAATGAATTATAATAGCTATGAAGAAAGGGTCTAGCACTGTGAGGGTGCAAGATTGTAAAACCACTTTGTCAAAGCGTAAGACTCGTGTAATGTTCAGTTAAGATTAAACATGATCGTCTTAATTCATTTAATACAAGCCGAACTGGCCATGCTGTATTATGTGGATACATATTTTGGAAGCTGCTTTGTCTGCTTAGACAATTACGCACTACCCATGTCTAATNCCGGCCCTGCTGTAGTATATGGATGCATATTTTGGAAGCTGCTTTGTCTGCTTAGACAATTACGCACTACCCATGTCTAATCTAAACATAAATAGGAAGTTAGAAGCTGAAGTGCCGACCAGCTTGATGAGGTGGCAAGACAAATGTCATGGTAGATCTACGAAGCCCTGCATTATATGCAGCTGGCTGGATTAAATGCATTTCCTTTATGCTGAACCCTCAATTTCTGCAGATGCTGTTTACTTTGTTTCTCAGTCAGTTGCAACATGAAATTCTTTGGGCTTCAGCATGTGTGTAAAATATTCTTTGTTAATAGATGGGATTGGTGTTCTAGTACGTCGTATTAGCAATGGCGTCTTTTCTCTAGAATACAAGGATGGCATTAAAAAGCAAAGAATACCTTATAGGGTATCTTACTTAATCAAATTGAAACCAGTGGATTATTAAGGTTTGAGAGAAAAGGAAGAGAAGAAGAAAAGAAATAAAGAAAGCAATCTGTGAAAGGTATGGGATTTTCACATCCTACACTCTACAACCTATTTATGTTTTTAAGAGGTTGAAGTAATTACACATACTACCCTTAAGGATATTCTGCCATAATAAAGGATAAAACGTAAAAGAACTCTAATGAATAATTTGCCTCATTCTTTCCGGACGGATTGACAACGGTACTTCTAATTTATTCCACACACTTTTGGATTAAAAAATCAGAGTCCATTGATACTTTAATTAAATAGATCTGAAAATATGTGCATCATAGTCCAACCGTACATGCCTCTTGAGTATCAAGGATTGCTCATTTGCCTAGAGTTTCAACCTTCTACCCAAGCAGTTAATCATTGTTGTTGATCTCTACTCTTTGTTGGAAGAGAGAACACTATGAAAGTCACAATCTTATGTCATTGAATTTGGCTTCCTCACATAAGTTTTATCTATGCAATTCTGTTAGGTTTCCAGTGGTTGCATGCACCCCATGTACATGTGCTGCTTGCACTATATAGTTGTTGATTGTATTATTTCAAGTCAAATTTTTTTCTAAAGTCAAGTTCAAATTCAGTTGAGTCTTGGTATAGAAGTCAGAATTATAACAGCAAAAAATTGCAGGAATGGGAGAAGTTTGCAAATCTTAATAGTGAAGGTTTTCGGTTGAGAACCTGACAGTAAACAGACGAGGCAGTTTGCTAGTTAGAAACTTTACACAACGTTGTATACAAAGATATGGAAATGCTTTTTGATAGTCTCTCTTCTGCTCCATATTGGTTTACTTAACCATAGTATAACTCTCATTTTTATATTTGCTGCATTTCATATAGGTATAGAAGAATTAAGTTCCATGTATAATAGCCAACCAAAAACCTTTCCCATGTCAAATGTATGTGGTGAGAGAGGAAAACAGAAACTGTTATTTATAAATTCCATTACAAATTTGAAATTTCTGTGAAATTTCGAAGTAGTCTTCTTTCGTCCTACCAACAAACTGTACCTGCAATTTCAAATGCCGCAATGAAAATAAAAAGAACTTTCAACGATTCGCTCTTTGCTGCAGGTAGCTTTTAGCCGGTGGCTCATCAGTCAATTTGAGCTGGCATACTTTGTCTTATTTATGAGGTGCTTTAAATGCAGACATTTTACAGTTTTCGCCTGATTCCGGGCTTTATGTTGCTGATTGCTAGACATTGCATGTCAGCCGCATCAAGAAACTCTGTTTATCAAATGAAATCCAGGGTAGTTCTTTTGCATGAAAATGTAATACTAGATAGTAGGTGGCTCGCGCCACTATGCAAAGCATCGAGTTTTGTCCTGCCATGCACATGAACGCAGGTAGATTTTCTTCCTTTGAGAGCCAGAGACTCTATATGTAATTAATTTGAGTATGTTGGTGCATGCCGTGTCTGTGATAATAATTTCTGCTTTTGAGAGGCTAGGTATGGAGTCAGTTTGGGTACCTCTGTGCATACTGCATTTGTGATGAATAGTTCGAAGTATCGGCCGATACTGAGGCGATTTAGCCGAGTCGTATCTGACTGTGCATCTTCTGAGACAATATGGTTATACGATATGTATAAACCNTCCTGAGGCGATTCAGCCAAGTCGTATCTGACTGTGCATCTTCTGAGACAATATGGTTACACGATATGTATAAACCTTGAGTCTTGCACAACTCAGCCGAGTTGTGCGAGTTGTATCCTAGTCAATTCTGAGTCGCTGAATTATCGTTATTAAATCGACTGATACGGTTCTGTGACGCTATGATATGACCTGAATTTTTTGTTATGTTTATTTTCTTTTTAGGACATATCACCAGATACGGATGCTAGGACTGATGTGTCACACAGCCCTTCGAATCGATGACCGATACCGTGACTTTAAACCATGGTGATGATAAGTGTACTATTACCCATGAAATATTTTTTGTTGCTACTAAAGGCCAAAAGGGAATGCTTGAAGTCGCATTAAATTTGATAACTTTTTATTGATTAGCTTGGAAATTATTAACATTAGGCAATCTATAATAACCAATATTCTGTTAGTTATATTCGATAACTGAAATTAGGACGAGCATAGAGGGTCCAGGTGATCCTGTTCTTATGTAATGATTTCTTAATTTGCAAAGATGATTTTTTTGTTATGGTAAACAATTCTCAGTTCTAACATAGAAATACCTTGAAATTTTGCTGTGATGACTTTGGCAAAAATTAGCAAGCTGTGCATCAATGGACAGGGTAGCAGGAGAGAAAAAATTATCCCTGGTTGATCCAGGCCAGCAGTGGGGATTCCATGTTGGCTCCAAAACAAAACCCGAATCAGTACATTTGGTCTTCAGAGAGATTTTTTTTAAAAGTCAGAGTCCCATGACTTGGATGGTGTATAATCGAATGTTCCCAAAAGGACGACTTGGATGGCATATTAGTGATGTTACATTGGGAGGCTTGTTTTCAATCCATGGATTTGGTTGGCCAAATGATGTTGCATTTCCACTTTCCTTTCCATTAAAAGAATGCGTTCCTAGAGGACGCCTCATTTATATTACGTTACTGTGAAAAGCTGGTATCATTCCTGAAATGCACCGTGTTGATAGCATCTTCTTTTGTTAGTCGGCTATATTTGGTATACAATTTCTTGCTATATATATATATGTGTGTGTATACACACACACACATATGTATTTCAGTATGACCTCTTACATTTCTACATATTCGTTTCTGGTATAGGATCCAGCAGTTGTGGTGAAGCAAGCCCTGCTAGTATCCATTCATTACAAGAGCAAAGCAACCCAGCGGCCAACCCAGATGCCGCGGGCTCTTCTGGGGTTAAGACAAAGGAAAATAAAAGCAGCAGTTCCGTAGCTGAGGTGGAGAGTGGATCTAGGAGAAACATTCTTTCAGGAAACATGGGGAGGGAAATTGGGAAGAACTCAATGGAGGATATGCCTTGTGTATTCACAAAAGGAGATGGTCCTAACGGGAGAAGAATAGAGGGAATTCTGTACAAGTACGGAAAGGGTGAAGAAATAAGGATAATGTGTGTGTGTCATGGTAGTTTTCTCTCTCCGGCAGAGTTTGTCAAGCACGCAGGTGGTGGCGACGTAGCTCACCCTCTCAAGCACATAGTTGTAAACCCTAACTCATCATTCTCTTTGTAGAGGTAATGTTGCATGTCACCCCTTACCAATGGAGGAGGTGAAAAAGGCAGAAATGCAAATGCAAGAGATAGAATCCAAGGAGAATAGCAACTTTTATTTACTTTTTTCTACCTACCTTCTGGAAAGGAAACTTTTATGTCAACCTTTCTGTTTTTAGTTCTTTTCTTCTTCCTTCCAGAGAGGGAACTTTTATGTATCAAGTAATTCATGTTTGGAATAAATTCTTTTCAGAATGGAAATTTTGAATGTATTATGCCGGCAATGATAGGTGAATCTAGTAATTGGTCTGTTCCGATTCTAATAGGTCTGCCTGACATGGCATTTTCATGATTAAATAATATTTCATTTTGGTTGTTGCTACCAAGTTTCTTGCTCCTATTAAGTCCAACCTTACTAGAAGTGGGTGACGGCACTGGTGGACTGTCTGTTCCCCCCCCCCCCCCCCCCCCCCCCCCCCCCCCCCCCCCCCCTTTGC